AAACGATTTTGACTTTCTAAACAGTATCTACACGTCAAAGGAAAATCCACTTCACAAGTTTAGAGATAATATAAATAAACATCAGACAGTCAATCGGATTAAAATTTCCGTCACGCGAAGTTTTGGCTGGACATAATGATATTTATCAATTTTATAATTTTGCGTTTAACACGTGCTTTCGTTTCCTATAGGCAGTAACAATGTGGTACAAACGGTACAAATGTATTAAAATGAAAAGTATTTTGTGTCAATGTGGACAAGTTTTCTGATTAACCGGGTCTTGTTTTTTGTAAGTCAGAATCTGAAAACAAAAATGTCGTTGAAATGATCTGATCCAGGGTCTTGAAGACAAGTATAATAATAATTGAAACAAATTCAATAGGGTAGATGCCTAATTTATATTTTAATGTCCGTCTGGTAGATTATTTTAAATCATTAGACACGTGTTTTTTATTTTCTTACAGAAACGAATACTTTCGACGATATATTGATTGAAATATCGCGTGACGTCACTTCTATGTACATTTTATACGTAGAAATGACGTTTTAGCCCCCACTTTGATTCGTTTTATCTAAGTATTGTTTTATTACACGACAAAATAAAAAATATGTGTCTAATATTTTTTCATTACCTAACTTACGGATTACCGTCATAATCCCAATTAAAAAACCTAAGTAAAAGTAACAAAACTACGATAGGTATATGGCTAATATCGTCCACACAAAGAAATCTTCGATAAAACTACAAAGATAGATAATAAATGTTTTAATCAATGGGTGTGACATCAACCCTGAAAATTAACCTTCGCAGTACATTGCCCTTACATCGGCTTTAGATATTTTTTAATTGGATTAAAATATTTCTTTATAATTCTTGGGACTTTATGATATTAGTAAAGAGGTCGTTTTGACGATGGCATTTTTTTTTTAAATTAAAACAGAAATCTTTAGCGTGCTAAACTTACTGCTCAATACATACATTGATATTTTTCTTTTTCTTCATTTAACTTTTATCGCAAGTTATTATGATTTGGTGTCGTTTTCTGTTTATATTATTTTCTAATAGATCTTTTATTTCTTTACAACTCTTTAGTATGCATTTCGGGACATAAAACATTATTGCGAACAGATCGCAACTGCTGCAATTTCCCCTTCGCATTTTTTGCACGTGTCTCTTCCTTGATTAAAAAAGTATGTTATCACAATAAGATTAAAAGTAATATCTATTGCATCATGACTTTGAAATTTCTTAAAGGTCTACTAAAGCAAAATTTGGGACACAAACGTATATTTTTACTTTAATGATTCATTATTCCAATTCATCATTAGAGATAAAATCTAGCTTTGTTATCAGTAGCCAATTATTCATTAACCGGTCACGAAATAACTTCAAAGTGTCGTTTAATACTTAATACTTGATTTATATCTTGTTAATAATGCTATCGGCTTTGCGTGACATTTGTCGATACGTATCGATTAATCGCAGACGATAGACAATTTCGAAATGAAATCTTAGATACCACTGTTCGATATATTTTAATCAGGCTTAATTCTTCGGAAGACACAGAGGTATTTGTTTTGATGCAAATGCGATACACGGACAGTGATTGGAGAAAAATAAAATGTTATTTATTATTGATAAACAGTATCAAGTGCAAAGGAATCAGTAATCGAAGGCGGTAGCCAATCTCAAAGAGATTAGCAAACTGCGCACAATTTGTTAATCACATAGCTAATCCTGAGGATTTTCTGAAGGACCCAAAACATTTAGAACTATACATGCATCAAGATTTAAAATTTTTACATTTAAACCAGACTTGATATTAGGGAAAGGCGTTGTTTACTGTCCCGGAGTAAGAATAAAAATAGTTCCTAAGACAACGACAAGTTTGTTATCTTGATACTATTGAACTATCTACTAAAATGTCACCTTCTTCCACAGCCTACCTGCTTGCTGAAGCTGGTTACGACGTATGGCTAGGCAATGCCCGTGGTAACTTCTACTCACGCAAACACCGAACTCTGAACCCAGATAGTAACATCAACCACAACTTCTGGAGGTTCAGTTGGGATGAAATTGGCAACATTGACCTGGCTGCTTTCGTAGACTTCATCTTGGAGAGAACTGGTCATGAGAAACTCCACTACATCGGCCATTCTCAAGGTGGAACTACCTTCCTCGTCTTGAACTCTTTGAAACCACAATACAATGAAAAATTCATCAGCTTCCAAGGATTGGCTCCTGCTTCCTACTTCGAACACAATGAGGTGGAACTATTCAAAAGCTTGGCTCCTCATGAAAGCACCATTGAGGTTAGTATCTGGTGAAATTTTTCTTTTGGTATATTATCATCTTTTCTATTGCATAGGTGTATAGTTGACCGAAGCTGCAAGCTGCATAGCGTATGAGCGGTCTTGTTACATCATCGTTTGACAAAATTTAAAGGACCTAATAAATTCTTCAGCGTAAATTACCAGTTACAATCAAGACATTAATCTACTACATTAATTGTTCATTAGACCAATCAATGAATAGGTGTTTATGTTAATAACTAACAAATATTACAATGTAAAAAGAAAAACATGTTGTATAACTTTTATTTATTATTATTTATCAACGTTTGAATAGAAGATAAACATCTAAGCATAGTACACGACTATACGTGCCACGAATTACCTGATTATCATAAATAATCATGCTGTTAAGATATCTGCTACGTAGCCAATAAGTCGGCTTTTGCGAAAAAATATCGTTATTTGCTAATGAATTAAATCTATTTCTTTGATTATAATCGATTCGCAATTGCTATACCAGGATGTAAATACCAAATCTATGAAGCGTGGACACGTGTAGGTACGCTTAAAAACACGCTATTTCCTCTGATAACAATTTCGATAAATCAGTTTCTATTTTTCGTCACTAAAGTCTATCAGAGGGTTTCACACACCTTTAAGTCTTTTATTGAATTTTCTAGTTAGAATAAAAGCTAATTAGTTATTTTGAAGAAAAATAGTAACATTGTATTCTTCTTCCGCAGTCTACCGCCTTCATCTTAGGCCAGCCCGAGATCTTTGGTAACCGAGATTTCGTGTACTGGATCAGATCAACTTTCTGCAATGGTCTCACCAGCCTCCTGACTGACCTCTGTGATATGGAATTCGACAACATTCTCGACCCTGAACATTACAATGCTGTAAGTATCTAAAGTTTTACAATGATCTTCTATTGATAGCAATAGTGGAATAAGATTTCTTTCATATACAAATAAGAAATATTCTTTATGTTTCCCAACTCGAATATGTCACGATCATCGAAAAAATCTCATTTTATACATGGTTCAAAGGACCAACGCTAAATATTTTTTATTTTCCAGACCATGATCCCACTGTTCCTGTCGCACGCACCAGCCGGTGCCTCTGTCCGTCAAGTTGCCCATTACGGCCAGACCATCAGATTCAACGCCTTCCGCCGCTACAACCACAACGCTGTCGCCAACTTGGGAGCATATGGCAGCCTCAACCCTCCAGCCTACGATCTCTCCAAAGTCGTCGTTCCTTCCTACCTCCACTACGGTCAAAATGACAAAGAAGTTCATTTCAAGGACCTTATGACCCTTGCAGCGACTCTGCCCAATGTTGTTGGTACGTACAAAGTTGAGAGGGATACCTTCAACCACTACGACTTCATCTGGGGTAAAGATGTGAAAGAACAGTTGTATGAAAGGACCTTGATCCCCCTGATGAAAGAAGCCGAAAGCAAACTATGATTCCGACGGTGCTTGTAAATAGTGTAAATATGATTGTGATATAAGGATTCCGATTTAAGTTTTGTTTTATTTATTGTCCTTCTATAATTAAGAGGAGTTCTTGAGTGGAGAGAGTGAAATTGTAGATTGTAATAATGATGGCTTGGCTTGTGTGAATAATGTTAATCGCCAAGTCGTTATTTAAAATCAAAAAAATCAATTGTTAGATTTCCTATTAAGTTACAATTTGGAGGTGGAGTTGTACATAAAACATTGTTCCTTTATTTTCCTGTGGATGTGAATATGGTCGATGTACTTCTTGCTTCAAAATGTTTGTAATTACACTAATTAATTACCGATATGTTTGTTTTTTTTCTCCGATAACACAACGTAATACCATTTATTTCCTAAAATGTTGAGTCATTGTCAAGGTCTAGTGAAAAATTCATAAGATTATGTCTGACCATTCGAAGCCGTTATTTTAGACCTGTGCCAAGTTAACCAATTGTTTACATGGGTATAACTGCTATACTTACTGGCACTGTCTGATGAGAGGAGGTGCGATAGGCCCTATTATGTAACTGTTTCATATTAGTCGATGCTGAAAATTAGCGCTGCACATCATTAAGTTGAGCTTCGGCCTTTTGCGCTGCGACGCACTATGAACATATTTTTGTGCGTTCTTATATTATTGTCTGCGTGTGTGTCGTGGCATACTAAATAGTCATTTTTTCTTTCGTCTTTCTATATCTTTACATTAACACGTAGCCAAAAACTTATAACGTAACCTATACCAACTTTATCAATAATAGCAAAACCACTCCTTTATGTGCGAAAACTATTTTTCACTATCATGACGACATATTTGGACACTGTTAAACAAATGTTACATCAGGTTTTGAAAGCAGGATTTCCGATTATTTTGTAGGTATCACAGATAACATTCTTGCGGATTCATGTCGATAGAACATTGATTACATTATGAACACTTTTTGAAGGTCTAGTTTCAAAATATGGGGCTTAGCAGGCATTTTGAAACATGAGTGATGCTGGTTATTCTTTAACTACCGTAGTCAACCTTCCTTGTATATTGAGCAGATTATTTTAAACCTTTTTATCTTTGAATTTATCTACTATATCGAGAATTTAATCCTGACTGAACTTTTTAGAATTATCTAGAAGACACTAATTTTCAAAATCTCATTGATTCTGGTTGTTTAGAAATCAAAACAAAATAAATGCTTACATGTCTTTATTACAATAATAAAGTAAATACAAGAAAATATTACGATTTAATTGAATTATTTACAACGATCAAATAAGGTAGGTAGTAAACAAATATACAGACATATTTGCACTAGATATATTTAATGATTGATTTAAAAGATGCATGACAAATGAAATGATGGTAATACATTTTGAAATATCGATTCAAGTAGTTCTAAATATCAAATTTAACATCGAAACTCGTGTATGGTGTTGCAAGAGTTCAAAATGATAACAGAAGTAAAATAAAAATAACGAACGATGAACTGGCAGCAGTGACATTGTGATCTTAAGCCAATTTTGCTACAAAACAAAATTACCAAGATACATAATAATTAATTAATCGCTAAACAACTAAAAATAAATTAAAAGATGAACTTACACATTCAGTTTTGGCAGGTCGAAAACATATTAGATTTAACAGCAGACTAGATTCTGAGTGATATTTTAAATCCCAAAATCATTTAAGTAGCTTTCATTTTTTCCAGAGAAAAGTAGAATTTAAGTAAATTGTTACTAGTTTTACTCACAAATTATGTTAGCCCAGTTTATATTTGCTAACGTTAACCCATGTGGTAAATAAATTATTGACAGCCATTTAAATCAACCAAAAACTGAATGTTATACTAAATGTTAACTTCATCCTAGAGGGCTATATTGCACTATCCATATAATTAGGTACGAAACACTAAAATTAGTCGTTGGTTCCGAAAACATACAATAGAAGCACCTATTAGTACAACCCAGAAGGCATATCTGTCACTTTGTGGACGCCGTATTTGCTCGAGTTCGAACCTATTGGAGACAGAGTTCTCTTCAAATCTGCGTGGCTGTGTGTACCAGTGACGACAAGACTTGTCATGCTGGCAGGAGCATCTCTAAGCATATGAGGGCCAGAGTAAAAGCCAGCGTTGCTATGACCACGCTTCACCAGGAAGGTTGAGCTATTGAAAGCAGTTTGGCTCTCAAGGCTAGAGTTCAACTTAGGCTGGGTCATGTAAAATTGCTTTGATTCCATTTTCATAATATCGTCCTTGGATTTTGTATCGTAACGATGTATGTTGGTAAGTTTGCTGTTGGACCTGGTGACTGGGATCAAGGGACTCTCGTTTCCTCCATCACTGCTAGTCCTGGAACAGGATCTCTGTCGTCTCTCATATGGCCATATAGGCTTCCTAGGTTCAGTCAGCATTACAATATCTACCATCGAGTTCAGTCCCTCATCAATCCTGTCAAGACTTTTAGTAAGTTTCTTGGACTCAATCAGGTTCACTATTTCGTCCACACGGCTGCATTTTGAATTAGATCTTTGCAATGGGTTCGTTGAACCCATGTGAGGAGTATGAGATTCACCATAAAACATACTATCAATGTATTCCCTCTGTCTAGATCCCTTTTCAGAAGTTTGGAAGGACTCACTTCGTTTAATAGATGTCCTTCTACTTTCTTCTCTGGAGCGAGTCCTAGAACGCTTAGGTCGACCTTCATCTTTATTCCTATCTGTAATAGAATTGAAAACAGCTCGACACTCGTGGAAATCAAAACTAGAACCCGAAGGTTTCTTGCTTACTGGCTTAGTGTATTTTGAGGCGCTAAGTAAAGAGTCAGATCCTTCGTCACTGGAATAGAAGTGATCATCGTAAAGATCAGGCGGTTTGTAGACCAAACCTTGGTCTACTACTGGTGGGACAAATAAGTGTAGCAGGCTCTTGGCCTTTCTAGGTGGGTGCGGGACTATTTTGCTTGGTACAATTTCAGACTCTTGATCCTCTTCTACGCTATCATCTGGGAAATCTTCTTTTCCTTTAATCTGTATACTGTGTCTAGTGCTTGTAATAGAATCTTCTTTTTCATCCCTATGCTTCTTGCATTCTAGAGAGACGTTGATTTCTGAAGTTTGGTTACATCTAGATGACCGATCATCAATAAAATCTTTAGCATATTGTTCTGATTCTGCATGATTGACTATGTTTCTTAATTCTTGAATAACTTCATCTATTGTGGTTTCATCTTCTTCGTCTGAAGATTTCTTATCATTCTTCTTGCATTCAAGTTTCTTGTGTAACGTACGTTTGTTTCGCATTAGATCGTAGGTTTCGTTTTTGACATTGAATACTTCGTAGACCATGGAGTCTCGTTGAGGATCACCTTCAGGGCTAAGAGATCTCTCTGAGGAGCTGATACCTTCGTCTTCAGGAGGCGATGACTCGTCTGTGAAATAAAAAATAATAGTTTACAGTGGCCATTTGCTAGAGGACTATTTATTAAAATTACCACATAATGATATTCAGTATCTTAAGAGACGTAAAGTTGTGTTTCGATATGAAAAAGAAATATAATTACAAATGAATATGACTAATTGCACGGGTTACCTTTATTTCTATGAACTGAACTTTTCTTCTTCATGGCAAATGGTTTCTTCCTATTGGAGTTGCCATGTTCAGATCGCAGTGACGACACTTCCTCCTGAAGTTCACAACACTTCTCCTTTAAACATTTTTCTAAAGACAGCAGGATCCCTTTTTCTTCTTGAAGAATCTGATGAAGAAAAGAAAAATGTTGTTTACAGCTTAATATTTTTTAAGATAATAGAAGTATTTAAAGTTAACTTGATTTCATAATCACGCTAACATTAGCGTCAATGTAATCAATACTATAGTGGAGGTATACTTTCAGTTTTCGACCTTTTGATATATTCCAATCAAAGCAAAAATATTGCAAAAATAGCCAGACTTTGACCAAACTGAAACATAGAAATTTTGAAATTGAAAACTCCAACATCATTGGTAGACATTGTCCTTTTTTTTTAAGGGGGGAAAATCATCGAATGACTGCTCCCGCCTGGGTGAGGCGGGAGGGAGTGTCAGACTCTTACTGACTAAAAACCACCCCGTTCCTTCTCCTGCACGTCGAGCCGGAGCCCCGGTTACCCGTTAGGTTCTCCGCGACAGACATTGTCCTTAGTGAAGTCTCAGGACTTGGACCCAAGATGATCAGCAATGGTGCTTGATCTTAATTGAGATTATTCGAACAATCGAACAATCAACCAGGTAGATCATATATGATCTGGTATATATTTATCACTAATATGATTTCATTCTTACCTTGACTCTCTTCTCAAGCAGGTCCAATTTGTGCCTCAAATCATCTTTTTCTCTCTGAGCCTCATTTGCCTTCTCGCTCAACGTGTCAATGTCGATCAGTTGCTTCTCGTAATCATCTATTTCTCTCGTCACTTGATCGTTCGCACTCGGCAGCTTGGCTACCATCTGAAAAGTTTTCAAATTCTGTTCAACTCTGAATGCAAATGGTATGATATAATGGTACTGACCAAACAGACGGAACCAAATGTTATGAAATCATGATATTTGGTTCCTTCTATTGAAGACAGCAACAAAATCTAATTGTGAAATTTTCTTAAACTGTCAAATACCAAGCGGTCACCGGTGACCGCAACCTATTGTTCTATAATTGTGTCTACAAAACCGGTACTCGACGAGTTAAGATATAAAATAAATAAAGATATAAAATAAGCTATTGCAAGCGATTGCTATTGCAAATTCCTATTAGTAAAAACACAATGTTTGATATTCTCGACCCAATATTTTTAAGATTACCCTCGACTACTCAAAAGTAACTTTATTGTGTATGTTTTAAGTATGTACCTAATGTAATATTTTGATTGTTCATAAATACGGATATATTGTTTCGGGCACTGGTTCGCATTCTGTACCTACTTATGTATATTTTGTATTTCTCAGTCAAGTCAATGTACATTGTTTTTGAGATATTCTATAAAATCTAGAATTAAGGTTAGTAACCTTGATAGTAATTTGTTGTTCAATGTTACTTCTAAAGAATTTTGAAAATCCTTGTAAAATTGCTACCTTGGAATCTAAAGGAATTAATACTTCGACTAAAGTCAGTCTATGTGCAATAAAAATATTCACACTTGACCTAAAAAGTATTAAGCCTTACGATTAAAGTAAGCCTAATCATCAAAATAAGCCTAATTGAGACATCAGCTCTTAAACGTACACTAATCTCTTAAATATCTACATCTGATCCAATCTGTCAATTATGTTCAATAGATATTCGCCATTATTACAATGCAATAGAGTAGGATGTAGATTGACCTACTACCGTATGCATTTTCCACGCCCAGTGAATTCCCGAGACATACGTGAACTGGACGTAATTACTTAGAGATATTGATTTTAAGGTTATCTTATAATTATTGATGATTAAATAGATAATAACATAATGTATATACACAAAGATATTACATGAACTTGATAAGAATGTTGTAATTTCAAGGGTATTGTACGAATTATTTATTGTCGCTAACCTTCTATTAGGTTGCTTGGATACTTCACTGATGATGAATGGAAGAAAGGAGACTTGGACTGGGATATTTTATACATATTTTTGTCTTCGTAGGTGTTGTGATAACGACCTACATGTCTCCCAATAATTTTATAAATATACTTAATACTTCAATTATCTAATAATAAAGTTTTTATTAAATAAAGCAAGCCGGTAAGCGAGCAGACGGATCATCTGACGGTAAGCAACCGGCGTAGCCCATGGATACCCGACACACCAGAGGTGTTACGAGTGCGTTACCGGCCTTTTGGGGATTAGGCATTTGAGGATTACTGGGGAATCCCCGGGAATTAATCCCCGAAGGATTGGGAAGATTGGGGAAGGAGGTAATTGGGCTTCTGGTAACCTCACTTACACGATGAAACACAACGCAAGCGTTGTTTCATGTCGGTTTTCTGTGACACTATGGTATCAGCCTATTCGTGCCGAAGCATGGCTCTCCCACTCCCACTATTGAAAAAAATCAGCTTACCTTTTTCAAAGTAACAATATCAAAGCCAGCCTGCTCCAACTCAGCTTGGATGTACAGCTTCCTTTGAGGAGTTGGAGCACTGCTCAACAGGGCATTGATGAAGGCGAGACCAGCTGCCTGAAGATCACCAGAACCACCAGAACTCTGCAGCATCCCCACTAGGAACCTGAAGCGAACTGGTTCACCATATCGGAGACGAAGAGTGGATAGAGCTTCGGAAACCATGCTGTGGCCTTTTGCTGGTGGGTAGCAGGCTTTCGTTAGGAGCTGAAATGAGAGGAAACATTGTGTAATTATTGATTGAAATGAAATTGTATTCAACACAATGAAATTTTTGTTCTTTATAATCAGTTCAGTAATCTTACTATGAATTAGCAGCCGCTAGCATCGCAATAGCCGCCGCGTCGCGGGTCGCGGAATGCTGCTCATGAATATGAGCCTCTAGCATGGCTTGAAACTAGTCGAGTTCCTCGTCAAACAGTTACGTGAGTAAGCCAAAAAAGTAATAATTTTTATATTAAAATAATAATGAAATGTTAAGTCAGTCTCGAACGTTATATAAACCTGCTGTGTGGAAGCACCTTTCTTGAGCTGACTGCAAACCGACACATGCGTACTGCCTTCAGAACGGGTCCGCTCAAACTGTTGTAGTTCTTTCTTCAAAAGGCCACTACAGAAAGAACTTGCACGGTTCTCACACTAATCTGTTATACATATTGTCTGGACTTTAAAAGAGACAGACCTCTGAGTTTGTTTCGACATTTCTTCTCAGAGTAGTCGGTTAGGAAATGTCGACCTCTTCGTTCGCTTGATAAAATTGACGTGTAAAAGTGCTGCCTTGTAGCCTATTTGCAGAAATAAATTCACTTGTTTCACTTGTTTCAATTAATATTTCGTTGCTCATTCGTCTGATGGCTCTTGCACTTCACGGGTATAGACAGTTGATTGATGAACTAGTGAAAATAAGTACTTTTTGTACGTATATAGAATTACCTGCAACGCCAGAACCCTGGATTTATTGACAGTGGACATGATGCAGACGGTGAGGGTGTATACCCCATTGGAACCTGACACTAATCTTCGTACGCAGTCTGGGTAACGACTGCAGCAGCTCCATAAACATTGTCTGGAAGAAGAATCATAATTAGAACTGTCCATTGAAATCGTCGTCAAGATTATCATCAACGACCCGCGAGAGGAACAGGACTACATGGGCCTCTACTGCAAAAGAAGGATTTATTGTATATCTCTATTTTTGTCAGTCGAATTGAATATTTGAAAACAGCCCGACAAGTTGAAGTTTATCGTAATTTGTAATAGAAAATTAACAATTGGGTACTAGCACACTAGTAAAATTCAATACTTTTTCGAACTGTCAACAACGACAGTTTTTGATTATTTTTTAATGTTTTATTGTATTGAACAGTCGATATAATTTATTTTTGACTAAGGAAAGTACTCAATAATGGCCACAAAACAATATTCGACTTACAAACAAGCTAATTCATCTAATAGCGGTCTTCTCCTCACAGCGGGCGGTCCACGCGCACCCTCTCCTGATTGGCTCAGTTGGACGTTGCGCAAGAGTTCCAATAACAAAGTCACGCCATCTAGTGGCTCGCATGAGAACTCTTGGACGAAACTGAAAAAAAAGAAAATATAATTTAAATGATCGTGGATGGCAGTCGTAGTTGGAACCATCTAACCAATTAAATTATGAACGTTAAACTAGTCGTAATGTATTCTTGAATGATAGTTTATGTGCAAGTTATCTCTAACAACAATTTATATATATTTGTTCAGAAAAGGCTACCTTAACTCGTCGAGTACCGGTTTTGCAGACACAATTATAGAACAATAGGTTGCGGTCACCGGTGACCGCTTGGTATTTGACAGTTTAAAGTAAATAGTAACAATTAACAACCATAATCAAGAACAGGTGTGGTCGTTTATGTGTTACAGTGTATCTATCAATACTTAGATACTGTGTGCAATATCGTCTTTACCATAAGGGCACTCGGGGCTCCTGCACAAGGCCCTTATCCTCAGGGGGGGGGGACCCTGAAGGACCGACAATGTCTACGACGGATACACGGAGAAAATCTTTGTTTGATCCACAAATTGTTGTTCCGGGTCTGGATCTGGATGTCATGGTATGCCAACTTATATGTTTGTAAATGTATCAACAATATAGGAGAAACTCTTAGTATGGTGCAACGTTAAAGAAAGGAACATTTCAAAAGAGCCCCAAATTATTTATGAGGGTCCTGACTGTGATTTTTTTTATGGCATAAGCCGGTAAACGAGCAGACGGATCACCTGATGGTAAGCAATCGGCGTCGCCCATGGACACCTGGATCACCAGAGGCGTTACAAGTGCGTTACCGGCTTTTTGGGGATTAGGAGTTTGAGGATCGTTGGGGATTCAGGGATTGGGAGGATTGGTGAAGGGGAGGGTAATTGGGCCTCCGGTAACCTCACTCACATGACGAAACACAACGCAAGCATATGGCATCTATGAAACGTGGGCATAAAACCAATGAAATGAACCAGGAATTAAACCTTTAACATTTTTCTCAAACAATTTATCATTACAGTTAAGATATATCTCATAGATACAATTTAATTCACCGTTAAAAGTAATTTAACCCGTAGAGTTCCTACCTCCTCTACTTAAAGTAAATTGTATCATTTGTATTATGTAACTAGTTTTCGACTTACACCATTAGTTTCTGTACTATAAGTTACAATTATAATTTACATTTTTGATTAAAATTGCTGGAAGTAATTTATGTTCGTATTAATATTATAGCCTAAGTCCTCCCTTTTAGCTTCCTATTACATGTAAATAGGATAGAAGTGGGTGCTGACTGACGGCTTGACTGCACGGTTGGCGCGATAGCTGGGCAACTGGCTGCCGCACAACGTGTCGCGGGTTCGATTCCCGCACGGAACAACTCTTTGTGTGATCCACAGATTGTTGTTCCGGGTCTGGGTGTCATGTGTATGTGACATTGTATGTTTGTAAACGCACCCACGGCACCGGAGAAAATCCTAGTGTTTTTTTTTTAAGGGGGGAAAATCATCGAATGACTGCTCCCGCCTGGGTGAAGCGGGAGGGAGTGTCAGACTCTTACTGACTAAAAACCACCCCGTTCCTTCTCCTGCACGTCGAGCTGGAGCCCCGGTTACCCGTTAGGTCCTCCGCAAGGTAACGTTTTTAAAAGAAAACAAAAGAAAGATATAATTTTTGGAATATTTAATAATGTCCACAGCATCTATTCAATCTGTCATATTGTTCATTGGATTTTTAATTTTATGACAGAATAATACAGTTGAAAATCTAATAAAAGTATTTGATTGAAAGGTTTCAATTGACCTGCTTGCGTCTATATGTGTTCAACCTTTAAAATGAATGTATGCAAAATGTCTACATATGTAATAGCTGCACCAAATTTGATAATTCCGAAAAAAGATTTTTATTAGTAGGCATGCCTTTAAATATGAATACTTAACAATAATTAAACCATATTCAAAACGAGACATTATTACTACTAACCATAGATATCAATTTTATACGACAATAAACTGAAAGGTTAGTAAAAATAAAAGACACTATAAAAGTGCTATTCCTCCTATATTAAAGACGCGTTAATTTTACAAGGATATTTTTAGAAAATGTTTTACGTGGTCACATCCTTACGATTATTGTGGTTTAAGTCTAAAGTGAGGAGCGATTTACAAAAAAATAATAATAATAACATTGGCAATTAAAATAGTTATATCAGGATATTTCTGACTGATCACTCCGTTAATATTTTGAATTTTGTTTCGTTTTCCTATCGGTTTCAATATCTTGTTTAGACAAAATATTCATATATGAATTGACAACTACTGCGGTAGACGTGTTCTAGAGTAGATATCTTTAAGTATTAAGAGCAACCCCACATAAGTTATTAAGTTAAAATTAAATAATATTAGTTAATTTGATACAAATAACTTGCATATGCTGAACTGGTTCCATTTCGCGGCAGACTTGGGACATGAACATGTATCCCTCAGTACATACATATAGAATGATTTATTTGTATATGTCACTTATTTATTGCCGTGAAATAAAGTGTTTTCTTCCTTTCAAAGACCTATAGGAGATCTTAAGATCTCAGTGGCACTATGGCAACGGCCATTGTTGACATATTTTTTTTTATAATTAGTAAATCGCTTCATCTTATGCATTGTGTTACGCTGTAATTTTGCAAGATTGTAAGTAAACCAGGAATTTTGCTAGATACTGAAGCTACTGCTTAATATAAGGCGGTAAGTGGCTCACTTAGTGCGGACATTTACTGCTTTTATACTTGATCTTTATTTACATATTTTGTTGTGAAAAATATGAATCAAGTAATTTTTACTTTCTCTGACAGTAGTATAATCTCACTCGGTGTTTAATCTATTTGTCACTGACTAACTGCTTAGTTGAAAAGCCGTAAGGGCGACTGCCAAACTGGGGATATGGTTTCGATTTTGTATTCGGATTTGGTTAAGTGAAGTTGTATTCGATAACACGAGACGAATGCGCACGAAGATTGGAGTTGTAGGTGAATGGTGATAGGGTCACACCCTACTATGTGGCACTTATAGTGATCTGGGACTGCAAGTGTGCTTAAGACTATGTTAACCGCTTATCATCAGTTATTATATGCTAGCACTGATATTGCCTCGTTGGCCGAGTGGTCGCCAGTGCGACTACCGAGCGTGGGGTTCCGGGTTCGATTGGGTTTTTAAAAAGTTCTAAATAGTAGCTCGGAGTCTGGGATTGTGCCCGGTATATGGCAATAGGCTCACTCCCTATTACATGGGACTCATAACGTAAATAGTTAAAAGTGGGTGTTACATTTTACAGTGACATAATGTGCACCTTTGCCTACCCCTTCGGGATAAAAGGCGTGATGTTATGTCACTGATATTGATCGGTGTTCAGTATAATATCTGTAGAAAATCTTATAAAATTACTTTATAATTCAATTATTGTAAAAAAATTAAGGAATTTGGAATCGCTTTTTGTGATACAGATTGATACATTTATTGGTAGGAAGTAAACTGTATTACCATTTTGACAAATTATTTTATGACTTTTGCAGTACTGCGCAACTTGCACAATATATTTCTGTTACAAAATTTATTAGACAACTATAAATAATGGATTCTAAATTCCTTTGGTTGGACATTTATTTATCTAGAGTTTTCTTTAAGGGGCAAAATCATCAAATGACTTCTCCCGCCTGGGTGAGGGAGGGAGTGTCAGACTCTTACTGACTAAAAAACATTCCGTTCCTACTCCTGCACTTCGAGCCGGAGCCCCGGTAGCCTTTTACATTCTCCGCGGCTCCGTTTCAGCATCGGCCCTATTGGGCCCCATCCGTGGTAGTCTGATTTAGCTAGGGTAGGGGAACAAACTCCAATATATTAACTTGTCGAAGACAGGACGTTGACATTCCTAGTACATTTCCATTCGGATACAATCGGTTTAGTTCTAAGGAGTTAATATTTGGTTGATTAAAATCATGGCCATAGATACAACAGTAATTCGTTCACCGATTAAAACAGAGGAAGTGCGATACATTTTTTTCGCGAAATTTTACCGCAAAGCGATAAAAATTATTATCAGTGCTTAGACAATACGTTAACAATGCCCAACTATTATTATAGATAATAATACAATGACTAACTCGTTACATAATTCGTTTGTCATAATCCTGGCCTAGTTTTATGACAAATAGTTAATCTATACTGATAAATAAATTTGGAGTGTCTATTTGTAATATTAAAATAACTGCTTTTTACTGTATGCATATGAATGTACATACGATAGACATAATTAAAATAATTTTATTTACCATTTTTGACTGTATGTCTAACTGTTTGTACTGGTTAATCTTTGAAATTGTTCGAGTCCCAGCTGCCGGATTTTTTCAACGACTGTCGCAACCGCTGTCGCCATTAAATCGGCCGCCGCCTGGTGCGACCTCCCGTGCGCTAGCACCAGCGTGTCGTCGGCGTAGCATATTGTGCTAACGCCGCGCGCCGTTCGGGAGGTCGGTGCGCAGCACCCAGTCATAGCCGATGTTCCACAGGCCCCAGCCGGCCCCAGAACCGAACCCTGAGACTTTTATTGGCAGATAGCTAATATACTTAAGGAGTATCATAGGCTACTTTTAATTTGGAAAATCGAAACTTTAGGGAACATAGTGTACATTTAGTTCCCTAAGATCGGAAAAGGAGGATCCTCCGAGCAGGCGAGGTGATCGACCAACAGTTGTTCGTTGGGATTTTCAATCCATATTAATTCGCATGTAAACTTTGGATGTGCGATGTAGGATTCCTGTGACGTCATCCGTTGATTTGTTTTCATCTATGTGCGTGAGCTGTCATTTGACATGTGTCGCCACAAAACAAAAAAAGTTATGCCCTAAAATTCATATTCTCCGTGGACGTAGCCGTGGGTAATAGCTAGTTGGTAGATAAGATTAGGAAGTTCACCAAACTTAGGCAAAATAGTAAGGAAATTAGCTGTTGTAAAGGAGGAAAAATTACGTCAAATTACTCATCGTGATGTTATCATTACCATAAGATTGTCATCTTTTAATGTTCAAAGGGTTGACTATAGGTGCATATTAGGTATTCATTTATATTTAAGTTTAACAAGTACATTACATGGGTTATATAGTTTAGTTTATAGTAGTTAGTAAAAAATATTTCCGTTTAATTTTGGACTTTAGTCAGAGTTTTTACTGTGAGTACAGTTGTTGATGCTTTGTCCTCAGTTATTTCAGTTTATTAAGAAATATAGGATAATGAGTATACTTCTGTTTATTTTTTTTAATTTATTTTATGTAAAATTAATTTCTCATAGAGACTCTCGTTACCCACGCACTATTCGAGTAACGAGCACCAGATCTCATCCTCAGTTAAGATGTCAGTTGATTGAAGAGATAGAATCCAAACCATCAGCCAAGCATGATGATAATAATTAGCATCAAAAATCCCTGTATTCAGCAATATATTATTATCATCCGAATATTGACAGGCTACTCACAGCTACCGACTGAGTAATTTTGTAAAGAATTTGTAGTAAGAGAACCAATCTTAAGCACGACTTCAAATTCAGTGGCGTTTGAGAGTTTCAGCGTACCATCTGGTGATGTCAATTGTCAATGGTAACCTTACCTTGGAAAAGACAGTCGTAGATCAGCTCTGAGCTTGGTCAGCAGCTCACTGGGTGTTCCAAACTGACGAAGGGTCATCTCTTCTCCCACACCCAGGCACGGATTTCTGTAAATTATAAGAAAGACTTGTCAATCTACTCATAGAATGATACTTAGATGTCGTTTTTACGATTTATTCAGCTACTTTTTATATTGCCACACCTATTCGAGGCTAGGCAGAGGTGCGCATAATGCCAAATATACAATTTACACCAGATTTTTATCAGTTATGTTTGGTTATAAGGGAACCCATTGTCATATATCAGGCACAAATTAGAAAAAATTTTGGAAAACCCTAAATTGCACGTTTTCTGAGAACTATGCGCTAGACGCAACAACGATTACGACCATTCAATCAACAAGGTTATGACAATCGAGGAGGTGGTGTGGCCGCCCGGAGGTTTAAGGCGCCCACTTCTCATGCATGAGGTGCGGGTTCGTAACCTACCAACGGCAAGTACCAATGTGACTTTTTCCGAGTTATATGTACTTTCGAAGATTATTCAGACACCACTGACAAACGATGAAGGAAAACATCGTGAGGAAACCTGGGCTTATAATTTCATATTATAAGTTTGAAATCGCCAACCCGCATTGAGCGAGCGTGGTGATTAATGCTCAAACCTTCTACGTGTGAGAAGAGGCTTTGCTCAGCAGTGGGCATTTGTAGACTGTTGAAGTGAATCAATGAGGTTATACCAGAGGATATTTAGACACATCTGCAAAAATGTTCACTCCAAAATTTGTTGTCACATAACGACATAATAATGTCACACTTTACACCGAAAGCGGATGAAAGTATTCTTAAACAAGAAAGTCATTAACGAGCGCCAGTTGAGTACCAACATCAACAGACTAATATTGTTGTAAGTACATTCGACAATTACCTACTTCCTGGACTTTCTACAGGTGGACACCATCATTGTATAGTCATTTTGTAATGAGGAAACAAAAGCTTATATGAAATACATTAAAAAACCTTTTTGAAGAGGTGATGTAAGACACCTAGAGAGAAATAATGAGTCGGTTACTGCAGAGTAGAATACATTAGACACTAGTGTGATCTTTAACCCATGTCGAACGTTTTGTAGAAGAGACTTATAGTCTGACAATGCAAGTAACTGCTGTATCAGAAGAAAAATAATTCAACAACAAGAGAATAAACTATCTCATCTGGGAATCGAAGTCTCGGGTTCGACTCACGGGTCGAGCAAAGTATTACTGGGTTTTAAAAAAATCTCAGTGGTAGCACGGAGTTTGGTATTGTGCCCGGTATATGGCAATAGACTCACCCCCTATTACATGGGACTCATAACATAAATAGTGAAAAGTGGGTGTTACATTGTACAGTGGCATTAAGTGTCGCAATATGCCTACCTTTCGGGCATAAAAATGCGTGATGTTATGTTGTTAAGTTATGATATTCCTAGGTTTGAATTCATGACCCACATCTTGACAGTCCCGTTTCTTATCCTGACTGTACAGACGCGGTAGGCGACAATGTAGACACAAAGAAATAAACTCGAATCGACTGCGCATCGATTCAAAATTTTTGTCCGAAGTTGGTTGCTAATGCTATTTAACAATAAGAGCAATATTTGGGTTTACGTTTAATACGTTACCTGAAGTCCTTACTACCCTGGTTGGGCAGTGTCCTAGACTTGTTGGCATCCTGTCCAGCCTCCAGATCGTACAGGCTGGCACCGCCTGTCTTCTTGCCCCATTTCTTCAAAGAAGTTGCATAATCCTCGGGATTGTAGATTGGAGGGCGCTGCTTGTCCTGCGAAGAAGAAAATACATATTAGAGTGATTTTTAATTGATTTAATTTAACGTTTCGCCTTTCATATCCAGAGAGGTAGCCAGAGTTATCCATTACAACGTTTTGCAAGTTAGGTGTGTTATGAGACTAATGCAAATGTAATAGGAGTGAACTTATTTGCATGCATTTGAAAAAAAACATCAATAAATCTGTGGCAACACATTTCAAATGACAGCATGACAATTTACGGCCTTAGAATCTCGATGAAACAAATGAACGGATGACGTCACAAAATTCCTACATGTGAAGTTTACATGCGAATTAACACGGATTGAAAATCCCAACAAACAAACTGTTGGGCAGAAAGCCCGCTAGGTCCAATCAACTCGCGTAGTCGGAGGATCCTACTTTTCCGATCTTAGGGAACTTACATAACCCTCTGTTCCCTAAAACCGTACCGAATATTAGAAATCGAACCTTAAACACCTTAGTTAGATATCTCACTTGGGATCACTAGTCCAACAAAGCAACTTCTGAGTCACAGATGCCTTTGCACATATAAATAGGTGAATGACCTCGCAAGATGGTGTTTACAACTTCCCATGGTGTTACCATAACCACAACAATGGAAGAACATGGAAGCTTTTTATTTTATGTAATAAGTACAAATTGTTTTAATTCTAGTACAATGGCGCCCTACAGCACAATTATGTGTAAATTATTGCGGATTGTGGGAACACTGGGCGATGTAATGCTTGCCTGACAAGATCTCTGATGGAGAAGATAGGAGGATGTATTTGAGCTTAATTCCCAGTTTGATCAGAAATGAAGAAAGACGTAGTTAGTTTCGTTTGATAAAAACTGGAACTATCATGAATGTTTGACGGAAGTCGATAAATTAATGTAGGTACTAAAACCTTCTCTTATGTATAACAAATAATTTTCTAAAAACCGCATCAAAATCGGTTCAGCTCATCACGCGATAATCACACACAAACGTACATACAGGTCAAATTGAGAATCTCCTTTTTTGAAGTCGGTTAGAAATAAGCAATAATGTGTTCAGATCAATTTATTTAAAGTAGTAAAATTTTAATGGCTTGTAGTGTAACGCACTTTTAACCTTGAACCTAACGGGTTGCCTCCGGCTCGACGTGCAGGAGAAGGAACGGGGTGGTTATTAGTCAGTAAGAGTCTGACACTCCCTCGCGCCTCATCCAGGCGGGAGCAGTCATTCGATGATTTCTCCCATTACAAAAAAAAACCTTCGTCGTCGTGGCTTTCATGGGTACCTGTATGTAAGTCTGTGCTGTAACTCATGAAAATATGGCTAAACTTAGACTAGCAGTCACTGTATAAACAAATACGCGATTGTTGTTTATACAAAATCAGATCTAGGGAGCTTAATCAGTCTAGCGTCTAGACTATGATAAGATCAAGTAGACAAACAATAGAAGCGAGACAAAATATTATTGAAGAACAGATAAAAAATGTTTTGTTAAGTGTCGAATTGAAATAAGAATTATTTTTTGATAACATCAATAATAA